GGGCAGCATCAGAGAGCGCAAAGCCCCTGGGTTGGGGCTTAAACGTTTGAATTCGACTGTAAATTCTCCTCGCTTTGAGCCTGAGATCACAAAACACGGCTTGCAAGAAAGCCAGCCACCCCCCATCCTCCTCCTTTCCCTCACAGCCCATCCTCCCCCACCTCCTCCTCGAGCGTGGCCCCCCTGCCGTGACAGGAAATGAACCTCATTTGAGAAGAGATGTCCCATCTGTGTTGCGGCTGGCAGCGAGCTTCAAATCGGCCAAGATAACAGCTGCGTTGAAATCCGCGCATACCACCGAGGTGGCCAGGTCGGGGCTCAGAGGGCTCGACGATCGGCCCCGGACCCCTGTCAGAGTCGCCGAGCCGGCACCGTGGACGCCGAGGAGCTGGGTTCAACTCCGGGTAAACCAACCGTGGTTAAAATGTGATCCTCATTCCGCAGCGAGTTGGTGGTGTCAGCCCCGAATGGCCAATACAGACACACAAAACAATCAAATAGCTCAATATATTCGCCAAAAATACTGCGGATTTAAATAGAAAAATGCACAACAGGCAACGTTTCGTGCAATAGCCCTTCTTGGCCCTAGCTCAATGACCCGTCGTTTCCTTTTTATTTTTGCTTGTGCACCACTGCCAACGCAGCATCATCATCACCAACTAATTTGTTACATATTAAACAGAACAAATAGCCTTCTAAATTTTAGTGGCGGTTTTTTTTTAAATACTTGCTGCATTTGGATTATTCCACCATGACGGATGACAACGCGTTACAACCGACGCCACGCAATTGCCTTCCCTGGCAAGCGCGTGTCAGAAGATGCACCAATTCGCAGGGAACTCCGCGGGGATTCGTGTCTCTCACCGAATATTCCCAGAGCCTCCGTGTGGACTGTGGTGGGTGGCACGTGACGATTAGCCACAGCCCACGGCAATAGGAGGGTGTATACTGGATGTGGTGTGCCGGGCACCGAAATATATTCCAGCCCGCCGAGACCAGGGTTGCAAACTATCGAGTGACAAAAAGAGACACGGCTGAAATTACGCCACGGATCTCAGCAGCAGTTCTGTAGTATCATCTTCCACAGGCCATGATTCTCTTTAACACGGTGCACATTTTACACTGCTTTCTGTGCGAGTTCCACGTCGTAATGTTTTCGTATTATCCGACCCAAAACAACGAAACCAACCAGACACTATCGTACGTGTGCATGTTGAACTTCTTTCGCACCATGTGTAGTAGCCACACCGTGCTGATAACAAACTCAACGCGAAAGGTCCCCGCGGTTGTGTTCTGCATGGCGGACCAGTCGCCACAGACTGCTCGAGAGATAGAGAACACATTTAATGACTAACTCTCGTTGATAATGATCAGTTTAACACGTAGCAAGTTGTCGCGACCAATATTATTCATAACAAAGGTTGTTGGGTTACATCGCGTATTAGTATAAATGTGTCGTAACCCTCCACCACCCGACACAGCCAATTAGTGAGGGATTTGTCACGTAAACAAAACGCCAATTAGTTACTACTTCAGCCTACCGGTATGTTGGAGAGTAAATCAACAACATTTACAATTTGAGTAGTACGACGTTTCGCTGGTAATTACATCCAACATCATCGGGCGATTTGTGGATTTATCCTCCAACACACCGGTGGGCTGAAGTCAAATTGTCGTTTTGTTTACGTGACAAATCCCTTACTAATTAGCTGTGTCGGGTGGTGGAGGGTTTACGACACATTTATACTTACATGATCTAACCCAAAAAACCTTTATTATGAATATCGTTGATAATGTCAACACTGTTCAGTGGCGAAGCTGGCTCAACGCCCCAGAAAGCCATTAAATGGGGCCCAACAAATATCCACCCCGACCCCTAAACCTATTACCCACCCCCCCTCCCCTATAGCCAAACCCACTACACTAACCAGGTCCGAGTGCGACTCGAGCCCCGCCTCCGGCTCGTTGCCACAGGAGCCCTCTCTCCGCTTTGTCCTCTAGTTGAGTCTCCTCGGCTGCTCCGTTCCTTCCACCTTCCCTGCACCGAGCATCCCACGCGAAGCGCGGCATTCATCACCCCGGCACCGTTACCGTCGTGAAAATTTCAAACTCTTCCGTTCGCAAAACATTTTCCGACCGCAGGCCCGCAAGGCCCGCAAGGTCCGCCCCTACTCGTACGCAGAGAAAGCCGAAACCCTACGCGAGACAATGGCGAGGAAGACAATGGGGGAGGGGAGGGGAAGACAGAGAGAGACAATGGGGCTCTCGCTTGGCCGCATAGGAATGTTGAATACTGCACTCGAGTTCACGGAGGTGATCCGTTTATAGATACCTCATTAAAATGAAATTAAGTCGACGCGATGTCAGTGCTCAAATGAGCACTGAGGCCATGCTCGCCTCGCGGTTTACAGACCAGAGCAAGTGGTGGTAATTCCACATGCCCATGGCAGAGGCAAGACCGACCAAAGGACAAACGCTGTTGACTTCTCCAGAAAGTGGTTAGCAATTTTATCGACCTCGGAGGAATGGTGGGCTGAGTCAACCCCCCCCTACCCACACCCCCACCCCCTGCCACCCAACCGGTATTTTAAACTCGCAACCAGCTGCTGATTGCGAGCCGCTCGCTCTATCGTCGAGCCACCCGGCCACCAAAAATAGTATTGAGAAATCGTGGATACAACAATAATTTGCTGCAATCCAAAAACCCCAGCGGATATCATTGAAATAAATTTGCAGCTCTGCGCCTTCACCTCTACCCAGGTTAAGTTTCTACGAAGCAACCTCTCGGAGCTCGTTTCACGGCACAAGGTGGTGCACTGCTTTTAATGCGAGGATTACGAATGGGCTCGCGTAGCGCGAGTCGCGGGTGAGCGAGCGAGAGAGAGAGAGGAGGTGCAGACCCGCAATTGCTTGTTGAAGCGACTGCTGGCAGAAGGACCTCCACTAGATGGGGGATCCAGAGAGGCCCTCTAGAGGGGTATGTAGCCCGGCTCTTTCACGCCGGCCAGTATTGTCTTGGAAGAAATGGGACAGAACCCACATTTCACCCACACGCAAGGTACCGATCGATGTAACTGTGTGTGTATATCCCATTCGCACTGCTGGGTTGGGTTTTGGCGGGGGAACAGAGGCGGTGATGGGCCGGGAGTATTTAAGAAGCTTGCAGCAACCATCATTCATTGATTCAACTGCTGTGCCGTGCGCTCGAATCTAACCGGCGAGCCTCTGTACCGCAAGCCTCGTGTTGACAACCATTCCACCAACTGTGGCAGCTTCCCCATGAGGGAGGGAGGGAGAGAGGAGGTGGTGGTGGTGGTGACGCCACTGAATTTAGGACAAAGACCCGGTGGCAGGAGTGAGGCATGGGGTGATCGCATCACGGCGACTGCTGCTGATGCTGCTGCTGATGCTGCTGCTGATGCTGCTGCTGATGCTGCTGCTGATGCTGCTGCTGATGCTGCTGCTGCTGATGCTGCTGCTGATGCTGCTGCTGATGCTGCTGCTGATGCTGATGCTGCTGCTGATGCTGCTGCTGATGCTGCTGCTGATGCTGCTGCTGATGATGATTCGCTCACCCAGGCCCCCTTCTTGGAGAGTTGGACATCACATCACAAATGTCCTCCCATGTAGCCTCAACAGACTGTCGGGGCAAGTGCTGTTAGCGAGCACCTATGAAGGCCGGCAAGGTACACGAGGGGGCTGGGTCGGCAAGCCGCCCGACTGCCTCCGTCTCCCCAGTGTTGATGTTTACACACCGCATCAGGTACTCATTTGAGGCCGAGTCGACCTAGGTGGGGGCCCAGGACCGGTTCAAGACAATCGCCACTGGTGGTGTCGGTGTCCGTGAGCGGCACCGTGGCCGGGTTCTCTTAACGCAGCGTGCTAACCGCTGCGCCCCCGCTCCCCACGCACACGGCATCCTCACACAACGTGTCACGCGCTTCACACGAGCGGTGGCACACGGCACGCGGGGCAGTTGGACGCAACGTGGAACGCGGGCCCGGTCTCCCCATGTCGCATCAACGCGCACGATACGTGGAGTGGCGGCGTGAACCAGTCACCCCGGACATTCCAGTCACCCTAGCTAATCAACCCAATCACACCGAGTCACACAGATGTCTCACTCAGCCATACCCGTCATTCTGGTGACCCGGTCACCTTAGTTCAACCAGCTATCGCAGTGACCCAGTCACCCAAGTTTGTCATCCAGACGCCATAGCCACCCAGTCATCCCACTCATTCGAGTCGCCGATCTATTTCCACCCCAGCCACTCGAGCCACTCAGCTAGATCAGTCACCATCTCGAAGTCACCCAGACATCCGAGTCACCCCGTCATCCCAGTCACGCCGAGGCACCCAGCTACCCAGCCATCATAGTCCCCATCATCCAAACCAAGCCGCTCTCGTCACCCAGCTATCTCACCCAGCCATCAGTCCCCATCATCCAAACCAAGCCGCTCTCGTCACCCAGCTATCTCACCCAGCCATCATAGTCCCCATCATCCAAACCAAGCCGTTCTCGTCACCCAGCTATGTCACCCAGCCATCATAGTCCCCATCATCCAAACCAAGCCGCTCTCGTCACCCAGCTATCTCACCCAGCCATCTCACCCAGCCATCAGTTACCCAGCAGGCATCCTAGTCACGCACTCAACCCAGTTACCACCACTCCAGCCACCTAGCCATTCCACAGTGATCCCAAGTCATTCAGCAATCCCAGTATGCCCAGGACATCCCGAGTCACCCCGAGGTAACCAGGCCTCGCTACCCACTCATCCATTCATCTACCCACCCACCCACCCACTTATCCACCCACACACTCACCCACTTACCCATTCATCAACCCACTCACTCATCCATTCATGTATCCACTCACTCATCCATTCATCTACCGACCCACTCACTCACCGATACATCCACCCACTCACCAACTCATCCATTCATCCACCGACTCCCTCACCCGCACACCCACTCACCCGCACACCCACCCACTCACTCACCAGCTGCACGGCGCACACGAACAGCAGAGAACAGCGACCGCTGCACCTCGCCATGATATCTCCTCCTCCCTCCTCGTTCTCTCTCCTCGTTCTCTCTCCCGGCACCGCTGAGATTCTCTCCTCCTCCACTTCTCCCTCCTGCTCGTCGTCGTTGTTTGTCGTTAATGTTGACGAGGATGCTGTTGTTATTGTTGTTATTGAGCCCCTGATTCCGGGTTTAACCGCGGATCGCTCAGCCGAGACAGCGACGCGGGCATCTTGGTGCAGTGGGCGCCTCCATCCAGAAGCGACGCGACCCGACCCATGGGCCGCGCATCGCCGCGCCGCGCGAGACCCGCCTCCTCCTCCTCGCCTCCCACTCATCCTCCCACCCCCTCCCTCCCTCCCTACCGCCCACCCCTACCGCCCACCAATCTTTCCGTCCCTACCAACCACCCCATCCTCCCATCCCTACCAACCACCCATCGTCCCATCCCTGCCTCCCACCCACCCCTACCGCCCACCAACATCTCCTTCCCTACCAACCACCCATCCTCCCATCCCTACCAACCACCCATACTCCCATCCCCACTAACCACCCATCCTCCCATCCATCCTCCTATCCCTGCTTTCCCACCCTATCGGGTCTCCATTCCTCCCACCCAGCCTCCTCTCGTCTCCTCATACTCTGCCTCCCACCCAGCCCTTCCTCCCACCCAGCATGACTGGTCTCCCTCCCAGCCTCCCACTCAACCCCCTCTCCCTTCATACCACCCATCAGTTCCCCTCATCCCCTCACGCTGCCTCCACACCCTCGTCTCCCATTACCGCATTCCCCTCACCTCCCCTCCCGCCTTAGGCGAGACGCGTGGTGTGGTGATGAGGGTGATGATGAGCGTGATGATGAAGGGAAACGTATTGAGATGTAAATTAGTATGACAATTATGACGTCTTTCGAGAAATGTGAATAATGATAAGGAAAATGGTTAAATATGTTAACTATGAATGACAATTATAGTGATGAACGATATCAAAATATATAGTTATTAACGATGGTGATGATAATTCTGGATGAAATATGAATAATGATGATCGATGAAATAAATACTTTTAATGGCCGATGATGGCGTGCCCATTAAGATATGAATGATGGGACAGTGGTGTGAATGACGATGATTGATAGATGAAGTGAATATTAACGATGCATGATCATGGAATGAATCATGGAAATATCTGCACCGTTCACACTGACACAGCCACACCGACACAATGTGGAAGTGCCGTCACCACAGCGCTTGTGCCAGGCTAGGTGCACTTTGAAACTTTGACATGAGGTGGTCGAAGGCTCGCTGGCAGGTGACGGGACCCAGGAGTTATGGGTTGACTGATGTGCCAGGCTAGGTCCAGAGGAGGTCACGGGACAGATCCGAATGATATTGGTTGACTGCCTCAGATGATTGACAGACGCACCACCTGTGTTTACCACTGAGCCACCTGAATGTTTTATCCGCCCGGCTCTCCAGCTCGTTGTTGTGAGCGTCGCTCCTCCACCCGCCGTCGTTGCATCGGCGCAGTCTTTCACGACCCTCCTCCAGAAAGGCCGATCTTGACACCAATGGTACCGTGCCAGTCGTTAGCAAGTCCGCACATCTCCAGTTCCGAATTGTACCCCCATCAACTCGTCGTCTCTCTATGCCGTGCCTCTATCGGTCTACTCGATCAAATACAACCTTTGCTCGCTTGCCCCAATAGTCTGAACAGCTACAGCAAATATGCGCACAAATCCGCGGCGTTCCAAACGCAACGTGCGGTTGGATGGCCCATCGACATATTTGACTCTCCAGACCAATGATAACCGGGCGGCATTCGTAACCCCGAGCAGGCGAACTCTGGACCGGTTTCGACCTCTGGGTCTCATCAACGGAGTCGTGGCTTGGCAAACAAATCCACGCTGCTGGGTTGCCTGGTGCTCCGTGTGAAATAAGGGACCACCGTTTACGAAAAGTATTTTCGAGGTATCTATGGGCTGGAAGAGGATATTGATTAAAAAAAAAGACCAATAGGCTTTACCCTTTCTGGAATAAAACAGGCGGTGTTAAGATGTTAAAACACAAAATAGATGCCTATTAAAAGGCATCAAGTCTGCATTCACCACACACTCTTGTAGAAAAACATGCAAACAAAAACCATGCTCTAATAATACATGGGCATTGTCTTTGAAATTGATTGGCCCACACAAGAGACGGCTGCCTTCTTTATGTTTGTCTTTTGGCGTCCTCTGTCTGACAGTGGCGAGACAAGGCTGTAGAGAAGGCTGCTGTCTCTTGTGGCGGCCAATCAGTTCCAACGACAGTGCATTTATAATTAACGGAGCACGTTTGTGTTTGCATGTTTTGCTACAAGAGTGTGTGGCGAATGCAGACTTGATGCCATTTAACAGGCATCTAGTTGGTGTTTGAATATCTTAACACGACTCATGTTGTGTTGCCAGGCGGAGGTAAAAAGCCTTTTCTTAGACATTGTTCATCATTTTGATATTGGCAAAAACGGTCCCAAAGGGCAGAGGGCACTTTGTGTGTGGACACACGGAACGCGGCTCGCGCGCCTCCTGCTGCTGATGGCAGGGCAGTGCTCATCCTGTGAATCGCAGAGGCAAAGATCCACCCCACCGTATGGCCTTGACACAATATTGGGGCAAAGTGCTGTTCGCGAGACACCTGTTGAGGGTTGGAATAGTACATGACGTTGGTGGTGTTGGTGTGGCCATCACCACGCCCGGCCCGCCTTTGTATCCCCAGTGCCGATGTCTTTGACAATATCGTCATCAGGTACTCAGTTGAGGCTGAGTCGACCCAGGGGAAGCCCAGATAATGGCCACTGGTGTCGGCCGTGAGCGGGAATCGAGTGACCTCTGGGTAGGTAGAGCAGTGCGCTAACCACTGCGCCACTGCTCCCCGAACTATAAACAAGAGGCAAAGATCCCCCGTGTAGCTCGCCCGCGCTGTGAAGGGCAAGTGCTGTTAGCCTGCACCCAATGAAGGCGGGGAAGGCGCACGTGATGAGCGAGGTGGTGTGGCCTGCCCGGCCACATTTGTCTTCCCGGTGCCGATGTTGCTGACACACTGCACCTGCTGTTAAACGTTTCAGGCTGAGTCGACCTGACTATATAAATACAAAGACAAAAATCCCCCTATAGCCTTAACAGACTGTCGGGGCAAGTGCTGTTAGCAAATAGCAGCAGCTATGAAGGCCGGCAGGGCAAACTAGAGTGTGGTTGTCGCCAACACCACGCCCGGCCGCCTTTGTCTCCCCAGCGCTGACGTTGCTTACAAACCGCTCAAGGTGTAAACGTTTAAGCCGAGCCGACCTGACTGTATACACACAGCACACACACGTGTGTGTGTGCTGTGTGTATACACGTGTGTGCTGTGTATACACGTGTCTGTGTGCTGTGTGTATACACGTGTGTGTGTATACACGTGTATGTGTGCTGTGTGTATACACGTGTGTGCTGTGTATACACGTGTGTGTGCTGTGTATACACGTGTGTGTGTGTGCTGTATGTGTGTGCTGTGTATATGTGTGTGTGTGCTGTGTGTATACACACGTGTGTGTGTGCTGTGTGTATACACGAGTGTGTGTGTGCTGTGTGTATACACGAGTGTGCGTGTGCTGTGTGTATACACGTGTGTGTGTGCTGTGTGTATACACGTGTGTGTGTGTGCTGTGTGTATACACGTGTGTGCTGTGTGTGCTGTGTATACACTGTGTGCTGTGTGTATACACGTTTGTATACACGTGTGTGTGCTGTGTGTATACACGTGTGTGTGTGTGCTGTGTGTGCTGTGTATACACGTGTGTGTGTGTGTGCTGTGTATACACGTGTGTGTGTGCTGTGTGTATACACGTGTGTGTGTGCTGTGTGTATACACGTGTGTGTGTGCTGTGTGTGTGTGCTGTGTATACACGTGTGTGTGCTGTGTATACACGTGTGTGTGTGCTGTGTGTGCTGTGTGTATACACGTGTGTGTGTGCTGTGTGTATACACGTGTGTGTGCTGTGTGTGTGTGTGCTGTGTATACACATGTGTGTGCTGTGTATACACGTGTGTGTGTGTGCTGTGTGTGCTGTGTGTATACACGTGTGTGTGTGCTGTGTGTATACACGTGTGTGTGCTGTGTGTATACACGTGTGTGTGCTGTGTGTGTGTATACACGTGTGTGTGTGCTGTGTGTATACACGTGTGTGTGCTGTGTGTGCTGTGCTGTGTGTGCTGTGCTGTGTGTATACAGTGTGTGCTGTGTGTATACACGTGTGTGTGCTGTGTGCTGTGCTGTGTGTGCTGTGCTGTGCTGTGTGTATACAGTGTGTGCTGTGTGTATACACGTGTGTGTGCTGTGCTGTGTGTGCTGTGCTGTGTGTATACAGTGTGTGCTGTGTGTATACACGTGTGTGTGCTGTGCTGTGTGTGCTGTGTGTATACAGTGTGTGCTGTGTGTATACACGTGTGTGTGCTGAGTGTGTGCTATATATACCCGGTGCAGCATGGGCACTGCGCGTGCCCCTGTGGGGGGTCACCCCCCCCACCACCCCGGGGGCAGCGCGGACTCCGTCTCGGGGCTTCGGCTGCTGCTGCCGCTGCCGCCGGGGTCTCGGGTTTCTTCTGGGGGCTATTCCTGGCGCGGGGAGCAAACGTTGCGGAGGACGCGGAGGGGTTACAGTCGCCTCCACCTCTCACCTCCACCCCGCATCCACCTCCACTCCACCAAACAACTCCCTCCCCTCTCTCGCTTCCCAACTCCTCCACCCCTCTCTCCTCCTCTCCTCCGCGCTCTCCGTCTCTCTCCCTCCCTCTGTGGCCTCCAACGCTCTCACGTCTCGCGTTCTCCCCCCCCCCCCCCCCCCCCCCCCCGTTATCTCGCCGTCTCTCTTCGGCGCTCTCTCTCGTTTTAACTCGAAACTACTCTCCCCTCCGCTCTCCCCGTCATTCCCAGTGTTTATCCTACTCGTTCTCTCTTGTCCAGTGCTGTCCCCTCTCACGTCACACTCCCCTCGTTCTCTCTCCCAGCCTTCCCCATTTATCCACTCTCCTCTCCCTCCTCTCCCCATTACTCTCGCTCTCTATTTTCCAAGTGCTGCCACCACCCCCCCGCCTCTCACTTCACACTCCATTCGCTCTCTCTCTCTCCAAGGTTGTCGCCGTCGCTCGCTCTCCGCTCTCCCTTCTTTTTTGTTTCGATGCTCGGTGTAGTCGGCACTTTGCTTCGTTCATCATTTCGTTTTTTTTAATGTTTTGCTTTATGTAAACCAACAAAGGATTTGTTTTAGACTGCGTTCGCTCTCTCTACGCTCTCTCTCTCTCTGCGCTCTCTCTCTCTGCGTTCGCTCTCTGCATTATCTCTCTCTGCGCTCTCTCTGCGTTCTCTCTGCGTTCTCTCTCTCTCTCTCTGTGCTCTCTCTCTGCGCTCTCTTCTCTCTGTGCTCTCTCTCTGCGCTCTCTCTGCGCGCTCTCTCTCTGCGCTCTCTTCTCTCTCCGCTACCGAAGACGTCTTCCCAGGGAGCGATCCTGCGCCCCGGCCCCATGACGGACCCATCCCGCGGTGAAGGTGCGATCATCCCGCGGGGGAAGGGAGGGGGGACCCACACTGCCGGCTTACCCACAACACACACTCACACCAGCCGGGGCCGATAAAGTAGCGCGGTACCGTGGAGCAAGCGGTGCATTGCGTGACGGCAACGTGAATACGTTGGTACAAACGAGGTTCATCCATCCTAGGCGATGCCGATAAGGGTGCAGCGACTGTGCTGGACCACTTTCCAAGCGAATGGTTGGAGCGTGCTGGCATGAGTCTGCCTGCCCGAATATGTAACGTTCATTTTACGGCCCTTGCTACGAAATTCTCACCAAGTCTCTCTCTCTCGTATGAACCCTCATTGTTTTCAGTTTCATTTATGTGGTATACCCCTGTGAGACATTCGGCTCTTGAATGAATCCCTAAGACGCGCCGCGATGTCCCATATGTTGTGTCCAAGGCCGAGCGAATTACTTGCACCAGCAGCTAAATCCTTCCACCGAGAACGCTGCACGCAAACCAGGCTCATTCCATGGGCGATAATTAAAATAAAAAACCACGAGGCGGTGAGCGAATAAAGGTCGAGCGGGCGAACGCAATCGAGCCCAGCCGCCGCCCTGGTTAACACCGGCGGCTGTTGTTCACTCGACACGCCTACCGCGCCGTCTGCACTGGATGATTACGCCGCGACGTTATTCCAATAGGGATAGGCCACGCTCTCCGGCGTCACGGTCCAAATGTATGGAAGTTTGGAACAATTGCCGGCACATTTCTAAAGTAGGTACACTTGTTTTTGTTACGCGTAATAACATCGCCCCCGCCAGCAGATCGCACTCGTCTGTGTAACACAGTGCGTGTCATCTTTGTTATAGCCTTGCGCTGTAAGAAGTGTAATTCCATTGTTGCCTTTTGACAATGCAGTACGTTCTTCAGGCGCTAAATGTTAACGTCGAGTTCTGCTGGCCGCGACGAGAGGGCTTCGGGAAAGAGCGAGTTCGCGTGGTTGTGCTGCTCCTCCTCCGTTGAAGGAGCGCAGACTTTAGTGGTTCACTGATATGCAAGAGTCTCCACAAGTTTAAGTTGCATGGCCACTGTCGCACTACGACTGTGGCTTGTCCATAATTTCAGTTTCATGGCTTGTCCATAACTTCAGTTGCATGGCTTGTCCATAATGTCAGTTGCATGGCTTGTCCATAATGTTAGTTGCATGGCTTGTCCATAATGTTAGTTGCATGGCTTGTCCATAATGTCAGTTGCATGGCTTGTCCATAATGTCAGTTGCATGGCTTGTCCATAATGTTAGTTGCATGGCTTGTCCATAATGTCAGTTGCATGGCTTGTCCATAATGTCAGTTGCATGGCTTGTCCATAATGTCAGTTGCATGGCTTGTCCATAATGTCAGTTGCATGGCTTGTCCATAATGTTAGTTGCATGGCTTGTCCATAATGTCAGTTGCATGGCTTGTCCATAATGTCAGTTGCATGGTTTGTCCATAATTTCAGTTGCATGGCTTGTCCATAATATCAATTTCATGGCTTGTCCATAATTTCAGTTGCATGGCTTGTCCATAATTTTCCATTCACAAAGAATGTGTGCGCATCAGCCTGTTGATTTTATCGTGCGGTTTAATGGTTTAATAGTTGTGTCAACCGGTGTCTTCGAGGAATGTCAAATCCAGGAGATGCAAAATTTGCGTCTCGAAACGAGGCGTTTATTACCAGCCCACGAATGGACTGCTGGGTAGCTTGTGCCTTGTTCTCACAAGTGTTGCACACTCAAAATGAAGGACGTGGGCAGGTGCTCCAAATCGAAGATGTAAAATGCAACAGCACGTGTCACACAGCAATTTTCCAACCGAGTCTTTATAAACCACGTGACTGGTGTACAAGTCCGGTTAATCATTAACGTTTTTCTCTTAAACCCAATTCTACTACTGATAAACCATCTTTGATATTAACATTTGCACTTCACTATTTGAACATTACTTTAATCCCAAGCTGTATGTCTATCTATCCCATCGACTGATATCGGTATCTTACACCCATTACCTGTACTGTATGTGTACAATATACTTCTCCAAGACGGAGGTTATCTGCAAGCCATCCAGCTACCATGAGAAATTTGTTCATGAGGCCATCCACATATACAAACACAGAGACAATTTTAAATGAGAAGATGGATTCTGGCTTAGTAATCATTGGAAGGACGTGATAAACCATTTCGATTCTTGATTGTGTTTTACGGTGACTTTCAGACCGCAGTCCATTCGCTGGCACTGCCTCTTAGTACCTTTCACACGACGGTCAATGATATGGTTTATAGCATATTGTATACTAATAAATAGTATAACAGTGTAATGTTCAATATAATTTATAAGGCAATATAGAGTATCGTAATTGTATAGTGAATATATAGCAGTGTGGTATACAGTAGAGTTGGTAGAATACATAGTGTAATATTACAAGTCTAATATTATTATAGTCTAAAGTATAGGGTAGTGTATAGTAACGTATGGTATAATTAAATGGTGGGTTTGTCTATGGCAGTGTATAGTACGGTGTATAGTCGTGTAATTTAGAAAAAAGTTTAGTTGGAGGCATATCAATATAATGCATAATGTTAAGAGCTTATATTGGGCTGTGTATACGATATTATACAGTGTAGTTTAGATTGGAAGGTATAATATTATAATGTATCGTAGTCTAGTTTATAGCATAGTTGTAACGCAGCACAGGACAGTTGTGCACCGTTGCTGTTTCTCTCTCTCCCCCCTCCTCCGTTCCGAGCATAGATGGACTCGTCCGTCTGAACAAAGCTCGTCGCTTTCCGTGGTGCTAACGTTGAAAAGAAACCGCCACTTTTTTCGACATAGAATTGTAATGTATAGTGACGTATTGCTAGTAGCTCAGCTGATTGGATAGTATATTGAGTTTATTGATAATATTGATGTAGTTTATATTTAGTTATTTCACATCGGTTTAGTGTATGATAGTTGGGTAGTTGCAGTTCTTTAGCGTTAATATAATAATGCCTCTGTTGATATGTAAACTCTGACTTTAACATAGCTACTTCCGTGACCAGTTACATGCTAAATCCTCACATTAACATCATGCTAATCTCCCAGTTACATGCTAATTTCTCACTTTAACATCCTGCTAATCTCTTAGTACCTTTCAGTGTAATGTTTAATATTATTTCCCAGTTACATGCTTATTTCTGACTTTAACATCCTGCTAATCGATCACATTAACTTAGCTACTTCAATGCTAAATTCTTCTGTTGATATGTAAACTCCTTTATCAAGGTGCTCTGCTCCTCCCACCCAGCTTAAAAGACGCTGCCAAGCTTAGCAGTGTTCACTGAAGCGCTGTCTTCCCGACAGTTCTGTTTCTTCACCTGAAGACGGAATGTTATTTTATTATGTTTTATTTTTATTATTTTATTATTTCCCTTCTACGTGACTTTACCGAAAGAACCAAGAAGATGACTCCCTGCAGTCACGAAAGCTTTATATCAAAATTGAATATACATACTGTACGTGTCACCACTACAACTATGCATGTGTTCTATTCTCAATAGCATTGCAAGTAGTCATAGTCTGGGTGCATGGGCATGGTTATAGACTAAACAGTATTAGGGTTATTAAATTAAGAATTACAAGTATTAACAGTACGTCATCCTTTACAATGCACAATGCTAAAACCCCTCCAATTGAATACATCACAAACTAACAATTCAAGGCCAAGCTTGAAGTCTAGAACAAGTCGAGAACATTTCTATAACGATCAGAAACAACCTTTGGGTCATTCACCTGTAAGATTCAACAGCACACGTGTATCACACATCGAATTTCCAACCGAGTCGCCATTAACCACGTGACTGGTATACACGTACGGCTCATCAATAACCCTGCCAGCCATCCACAGGCCCAACTCAGTCATCACATGCTGCTGTAACACACGTGCATTGATGCACTGCACAGCACATCAGGACTTTCACAGAACCACACTTTAATCCCTTGCTGCACAAGGAAATAGTTAAAAGAGTGGTCCATTCCTAATGTGCCCACACGACAACAAATCTTCCTGCAATGCAATGCGGGGGGGGGGGGAGATATACGGGAAGGAGGAGGAGTGTTGCATGTGTTTTGTGTAATTAAAGAGGGCGTGTGTCTAACGCAGTGGTTCTTAACCCGGGGTGCACGCACCCCCTAAGGGTACCACCTGCCCTTTCTAGGGGTGCGAGACACGGATGATTGTTTTTTTATTAAATAATCTAAACACAAATTAAGCACGGGCACGACAACTACTTTGTCTAATCAAACTCGATGTATTTATGAACATTATATTTATCAAAAAATTTACGATTGAGAACCAAAGCGGTGCAAGGCTGCAATAAAGGTTAAGAACTGCTGCCGTCTCAGGTATCTCTCTGTTTTCACTACCACATCCTCTTGCACCTGTGTGTGTGTGTGATTGGGGTGTGGGGGGGTATCAGGAGCTGCTGCCGTGGCGGACGGCCACGGCACCGCGGGGATGGACGCCTCTGGCGGACGCAAGGTCGTGCGCAGGGTCGTGCGCAGGGTGGTGGAGACCTCTCCGCTCCTGCACTCCCCCTCCACCTGGATGCTCGCGTTCGCTCTGCTCCTCACCTGGGGGGCCGTCGCCGTCGTCATGTTCGACGTCGTGGACCTGAAAGTGTACCTGGGTACTAGCCCTGCACTGCCACTCACCGGCTGGGTACCACCTAGGCACTGATACAGCACGGCCAACTCACTAGCTTGGTACTAATATAGCACTGCCATTCACCACTAGCTGGGTACCACCTGGGTACTAATATAGTACTACCGGTCACTAGCTGGGTACCACCTGGATGCTAATTTAGTACTACCGGTCACTAGCTGGTTACCACCTGGGTACTAATATAGCACTACCGGTCACTAGCTGGGTACCACCTGGGTACTAATATAGTACTACCGGTCACTAGCTGGTTACCACCTGGGTACTAATATAGCACTACCGGTCACTAGCTGGGTACCACCTGGGTACTAATATAGTACTACCGGTTACTAGCTGGTTACCACCTGGGTACTAATATAGCACTACCGGTCACTAGCTGGGTACCACCTGGGTACTAATATAGTACTACCAGTCACTAGCTGGGTACCACCTGGGTACTAATATAGTACTACCAGTCACTAGCTGGGTACCACCTGGGTACTAATATAGTACTACCAGTCGCTAACCTGGCTGCCACCTGGATACTACTACTAGAGCACTACCAGTCACTACCTGGGCAGTTACTACCTACAGCTTCACCTCTTTACCTGGATAAAACTGGTACCTAACCGTGCAGTCACACATCGCGGTGATGGCGAGGACACTGGGGATGGAGGTGGCGTTGCGACGTTGGTCGTGATGTTGGTGGTGACGGTAGGAGGCGGTGATGACGTTGGTGGTACTTTAACTTAAATGGCCGAGGTGGCAAATGAAGGTGGTGATAGTGGAGGTGGTGACGGAATTGGTGGTACCGTTCGTGGTCGTGGAGATGGTGACAGTGCTGGTGGTGATAGATGACCATTTCTTGCCCTTGTTTCAGGTGTGTGTGCCATCATTTGGGGGTAGATGCTTTATCAATAACCAGGTCATAAAGGCAATGAACAGGGCACTGCACTGTGAACCCGGCGACCCAAGTTTCATTCCACGCCACAGTTAACATCAGTGGCCCCCAGCTCACCAACCCTCACTAACCAGTGCGGTAAAGTATCGTCAGACAACTCCGACACGGTGGTGCCAACCCCGCGACAAACCGAACGGACTCTCTGGGATGATGACATGATCCAGATTTAGCAGTGATCCCAGGTTTGTACTTCAGGGTCCCGTATCAGTTGACTATGTTTATCACTTGGTCAGTTGCCTAAGTGGGACGCTAGCAGGTACGTATTAAGAATCTTGCGTTGGGTTACAGCAGTGGTGCACTCCGAATAATCCAGCACTGCGGGGGTAGTGAGGTTTGGTGTATCGCCGCACAAATGTTGCCATACCCTGGCTTTTCAGGAGAAGGCGGTATACAGCAACGTACAGGCGAATCCTCCATCCGTCACTTGTGTGTGGGATAGAGTGTTGCCCCCTCGCACGCATGGGTTTTCGCCATTGCTCCAGTTCCCTCCCACGTGTATAAACACTCATTCATTGAATGAAAACACAGATGAACATATAGAGGGCTGCAGGGCTTGGATAATTGTTGGTAGCGCCGGCGCTCCGCATGGCTGACTGCCTTCCCGCTCGTCTGTGGTTCCTCCTGGCGCCTTTGAGTCGTCCTCTCTCCTCGAGAGCGAGTGGACGAATACTGTGCAGCGGCGGCGGCCGATTTGGGTCGCAAGTTGAAATAATTACGAGTCAAATTGTCCACTGGTGATAGCTCCATCAAGCGACGTCTCACAAATGCGAGGTTCGTTTGGAGAGGTTTTTTTTTCGCTTTAAGGATTTGGTAACGCCGCACCCCACATGCGATATCGTCTGGGGAGGCCTTCATCCAGCAGTGGATTGACCAAAAGGGTTGAAAATTATTGTTATTTATTTAATAGCTCGCTGAGTCGGAAGTCGTTTTTTTATTTGGTTTCGTGGGGTATCTGGAGTTTCAACTTTGCAATCATCCACAGGAGTGTAACAAGCCGTGTCATTAGACATCCCTAAAATAGCCACTTGGTGTGGGGCGTCGAAGCGAGTGCAGGTCAGCGTGGTCAGTCACTCTGTCACCTGCTGCTGACGATGACGACCACGATGATGAGCGAATGCGGATAAAGTGAGCGAGGTTGTGATCGGCACCCGGGTGTCTAAGTCACGTGCTTTTCTTGACCAAGTATCCCTTTTTAATCGCTTTGAAAGTCAGTGCGAAAAACAAACTCGTAAAAAAAGCCTCAATTGGATGGGTGCGATTGTACACGCGTCCTGCTAAAAAACGCTTATCCCACTCTCGAACAGATTGAAAGTGCACGCATCCTCCTCTAAATCTCAACGAATTATTGCAATTTTGGGATGCGGTTAATGAAGCTCACGGTTGGAGTATCCCCACACTGTGAACGCGCGTTCCGATCCAATCTTAGGCAGCTGTAATCGGGACGCGGGCTGGTAAAACAACACGTTCATGATCAGTAAGTCTGAACCAAGGCCGTAATTATAATATATATTGGGGGCGATGTGCGCAAAATGTCCCCCCCCCCCAATATATTGCTATAAAATAGATTTCTGTTTATGATTGTGGTTATGGTTGTACTTTATTAATCCCTAATCTCTGCCATTACATACAATGAAACAAGAAAAGGTAAAAAAAAACAGCAGTGTAATACAATACACTATTAGACATCATTGTAAAATGTGTTAGTGAATTTTTTAAATATTTTAGGCAGGAAATTCGTTTTAAAATTTAGATATTTTTTCTGGGGGGCGACCCCCAGACCCCCTGAAAGATTTGGTCCCCCCCCCCCCAATGTTGACTCCATGGCTACGGCCTTGGTCTGAACATTCGTTACCACGTGCGCACGCTCTCTTATATAAGAGTCCAGTCCATCACGGATGCGCCGCTTTGATACACGCGTTGCTTTCTGGGCTCTGCGAAACGACGCCTTTCTAAATGTCGCTTGCTGCGACGCTGGCTCGGCATCACCTGTCGCCGATGACTGTTGTCCAGGTCATGGGGGGGCGGCGACCCCTTGAGACTGCGCTGACCGTCTCGCCACGCAAAGGTTCACATCACAGCCAACGACGCCTGTGGGAGTGGCTAAAGAGGATCGCGTCTGTTTTGGGACGCTATGTTATTAAACTTATTCGGATGAAAGCAGGGGGGCATTTTTCGTCGTCATCGTCATGGCCATCATCGTCCACAGCCACGAGGGACCTGCTCACCGCGGTAGACAAACTCGACACTTTCCACTTCATGGCACGCGTGCATGCCCGCCACACATTGCCCTGAAGATAAAGGGGCCAATTGCCCGAAGTGTCGACTAATGCACATTTTTTTTCCTTCCGAGGCCACGGTGTTGTTGACGAATATTCGTTAGATTTTACATCGTTGCTTGCGCACCACTGCCAACGCAGCAGCGGCAGAAGCAGCTCTTGTCGCCTAAAATCTACGGCCGGATGTACGACCCACAAAGGGGTCGTCAGCGTGTGTGTGTATGTGTGTGTGTATGCAAAACAACCCCCTACCTCCTCGCGGTGCCGGACGGGCAACTCTGTCGTGGACAGTGCTGTGGGGGGAGATCCAATTTTGATTGGCTCCTCCCCTCATGGCATATGTGTCCACCACAGGGGCTAAACGGGGGCTCTGGACAGGTGCGAGGGGCTGGTAACCCCTGCACCTTCAATTAATTACCACGAAACCACGAATTAAACTGAAATATGTAACTAATAAGCTTGTGCCGGAGGCCCCGGGGGGCCAGGCGTCTATGACGTCTCCTGGCCAAACCCCAAATGGCGGAGCCAGGAGATTGAATACCTACCTTCGGGGCTACTCCAGAAACAACGAAAAGCCACTACGGGTGGCCACGTGGAATGTTCGAACGCTCACTGCAGAGGAGAGGCTGCCACTCCTTTGTCGGGAGCTGGACCGGTACCGCTTGGATCTATGCGGCATTCAGGAGGTCCAGTGGACCGGCTCTGGCTCCTGCCACCATGAGGGGTGGACAGTCCTCTACTCGGGGCAGCAGACTGCCAAACAACAGGGTGTGGGTCTTCTTTTGAACAAAAGAATGAAGGGGGCGTGGGAGCGTGGCGGTGAGGTGTGGGAAGCTGTAAGCCCCAGGCTACTTTGGGCTCGCCTTCCCATCAACCGGAGGCGAGGAATGGTGGTCGTGGTTACTTATGCCCCCACCGAAGATGAACATCCGTCGAGGGATGCAGGCAAAGCCGATGAGTCAGATGCCTTCTATGACCTCCTGTCACAGGTGCTGGCTAAAGTGGCCCCTCAGGATAGAGTCATCATGTTGGGTGACTTCAATGCCCGAGTTGGTCATGATACTGGCACCTGGTCTGGAGTGATTGGAGGGCATGGGCCAGATCAGCTCAATAACAACGGTAGGAGGCTGCTAGATTTTTGTGCAGCCCATGGGCTTGCAATTACCAACACGCTGTTCCGGCATCGGCGCATCCAGACAACATAATGGATGCATGCCGGGTCCAAGCAAGAACATCTGCTGGACTACATAGTGACGGACCAGCGAATGTGAGCCCATGTCCTTGACACCAGGACCTACCGTGGAGGTGATCTGTCCTCTGACCATCGACTAGTCATCTGTAAGATGCGCCTGCCATTCTTCCACTCCGGTGGTGGGTGTACACCCAGGACCCCATTCCAACATAAAGTGGCCTGGTCTCAGTTATCTGATGAAAGTTGCAAGCGAGAATTTCATCATCGCTTGCGGCTGGGATTGGCATCGTCCCCGACTCCTCCTGATGTCGAGGGTAAATGGGCGAGGTTTAGGACTGTGACTCATGCAGCTGCAATGGCTGCTTTGGGTATGCGGTCCAGACCTCCCCAGAGACCCTGGCTGACAGAGGAGGTGTTCAGGATGGTTGAGAAAAAGCGACAGGCCCACTGTCATCGGCTACAGAATCCCACGTCAGAGAATGAGGAGGCTTACCGCAGCCTTCGCTCGGATTTTCGGAGAGCCGTGAGGCGCTGCAAGGATGGGTGGTGGTCGCGGGTTG